ACCCCTCTGTCCACACATCTTCACTTGTCACAGTGTGTCCCACAATGTACCCCTCTGTCCATACATCTTCACTTGTACATATTCATTGCAATGAGTCATTGGTCTGGTTCAAGATCTCTGGCTTCTGTGACACCATCAATATTGGATTCTCATCAGGACTCCTCCCAGTTATCCTGTCCTTGCCCTGTGTCACGGAGACCCTACAGTTCTGGAATAGCAGGACTGGCCCTTTCACATGTCTCAACTGTTCTCAGATTTTGAGTGGGTCAGTTCAGAGCCTGGGATCTGGGCCTGGGTGGTAGCTGAGCTGGTCAGTCCACTGGCTCTCCCTTATGTTCCCCGAGCAGGGCAAGCTTTTTAGTCTCCAGCTAGGCCACCCAATGGCGACATCAGCAAGAGGCAGGGTCAGCTTTCCTGCTCTCACGCCATCGGGGCAGACTGGCTCATTTGCACCCATGCCTACAGAGCAAGCTCAGCTATGCTGCCCATCTGAGATGTGCAGTCCACTCTTGTAAGTGCTGCAGCCTGTGAGGGGCTGGGCCTGTTCACCTGAGTGCTATAACCAGTGAGGGGTCAAGGCTAGGCCTCCTATTTTCATACCTTTGGTGCCAGCAAGGTGGGGAGGACAGTACCTCCATGCCCTTGACACCTCATGGCAGGAGAGTGGCAGATGAGAGGTGGGACTCTCTCATACTCTCACTGTTGGGGCCAGCTCACCTGAGCCCTCTCCACTAGGGCCAGCTCTACTGTGCTGTCCAGGTGAGATTCAGGGCCTGCTCTTCCAAGTGCTGCTGCTGGTGAGGGGCAGGACTAGCTCTCCCAGCTCATGATCCTGTGGGCAACTGTTCTGATTGCTAGAGGTGGTGAGGGGTGGGGGAGGGGCATCACTTGTTTTCCTGTGCCATCCCATGGCAGATGAATCGTGGGGTCGGCTCGCTCACACTCAGGCCCTCTGTTTGCCTTACCTTCCCACTGTCAGGGCCATCTACTGTGCTGCCTGGGTGAGAGATGGGGTCATCTCTCCAGAGAGCTGCATCCAGTGAGAGGTGGGGCCAGTTATGCACAGCCCCTGGACCTCCAGGTGGTTCCCAAGAGCTGCTACTATCAAGGACATTCCCATGTTCTCTAGTGGTAATGTCAACCTCGGACATCAACACTGACCCATGCCACTGTGTGTGTAGCCACAAATTCAGACACGACCCTCAGGGCCTTCATCTTGGGCTGGGATCTCACCATTGTCTCAGGTGGCAAGGCTGGCTGTTCACAACAGGCTGCCCCTCTCCACCCTGGAGTATTCAGTTCCATCTCTCTTCATGATGCTGGAGCTGCTCCACTTCTCTTTCTCTCCCATCTGACTACCACATCCTCACACATTGTGGTGGCTCAGCTGCAGGATGGCTATGTGGCTAGTGGGCCCCCAGGTGACATCCTCCATCCACACTGGGTGGCATGATGGCAAGCAGATGTCTATGGCCCACCTGTGCCGTGTACTGGAGGGTATGTCTGTGGGAGGCATGGCAGTTCTCAGGTCTTTGTCTTCCTCCTTTGAAGCTATGCTGCTTGGATTTAATTTGATTTTTATGCATCCTAGGCTTAAAACAGCTTTGGCCACCAAGCCAGGCATCAAGCTAGAGTGAACAAAGGACGACCGTCTGCTCTGCCCCTGATTGATATAAGAACAACACAAACAAGGTGTCTCTTTGCCCATTGCTGGAGGACAAAGCTCTTTTCTTTCTTTTTTTTTAAAGTACAAAATGGTTGGGCTTTTTATTTATTAATTTTTAACCCTTCCTGCCTGAAATATGAGAAAGATAATGGCAGAAGGTCCTGGTTGGAGCACAGGGCTCATATGACTACTGTGATAGCCCAATGGGAACAGAGAGCTTGCCATAAAGTAAGTGTTGAATAAAAGGTAATTGTAACAGTAATGATGTTCTTGGACCCTGTGGGGCAACTTTCCTAACTTCTAGAGGTGGCAAGGAGGTGGGAGATGCCCACCTCTGCTTTAGAGACCATAGGCAGGAGCCCAGATGTGGGATGGATCAAGAAGGAAGATTTCACACCATTATACCAGCTAAGCTCTTTGTGCCCAGATTTCTTCATGCCCCTATCAAGAAGTTCAGTTTAGAATAAATTGTGAGGTCTTTGTCAACAGCATGCATTCCAATCTCTTCATAGAGGTCAATGTAGCTTGGCATTCTGGTTCTTCCTTTAAATCATTTACCCATATCTTGTCTGTCTAGCTGTGCTGGGGCTGGGGACATTTCCAAGTCCTTGACTCCTGGCTATCTTTTCTGGCCTTTGTCAGAGCTTGGAGCCATGTGATTTAGTAGGGTGTGTGCCGTCTCATAGGCTTTCTCTGAACGTAAGCATCTGCCGGACAGCCTCCTCAGTTCATGTGCCTTGTGTCATCTGTCAAGACAGGCAGCCTTTACTTACTAGTTTTCATGAACTCAAGTTAAGTCTTCCTTCCCTTCCTCACCTTACCTGGGTCTGTATAGACCAAGAATATGAGAGATGGGGAAGGCATGCATATTTATTCAGAAGCAATTTTGCAGAAGGATTACAGACTCCTTCTGTGGTCAGACTGACTCTGCTGTTTCTTGATAAGTGATACTGGCCAAATTACTCATATTTCAGTTTTCTTATCTGTAAAGTGGGGATAATAAAATTACTGAATTCAGAGGATCAAGAGGATTAAATGAAACAATCCTCATAGATTGAAAAAAGCAGTAGCCATCATTTTTGGTATAACAACAAAACCACTTATTATCATTATCCCAACCCAAATCTGTCACTGAAACATCTGATTTCACCCTACTGTGCATCACCAAGGATCCCTTTGATGCAAAGCTTAGAAAAAGTAACTGATTTTTCTCTGCATTCTCATATATCTGCAGAAGGATACTTTTAAAGAGGCATTACTGAAAAACATAGCAGGTGGCCAGATGGTAATGACTGAAAACAAGGTCCCTTCTGTCTAGAAGAACAACTGAGTGGCATTCGGGTATATAATAAGATAAAATGCACTTCTAGAGAGATCATATGTGATCCAAGTGGAAGGAGAGCAGCCTGGACTCTTGCCAGAGGGTGTGAGATTAGGGAAGAGAGCAGAGACAGACGATTGAAGGATGTTTTGTTTCCCAACTGTCACATCTGTGAGTTTAACATCCTAGCTGTCACATCTGGGAGTTTAGCATTATCTTTTTCTTCCAAGACTGTCGTTCAGAGGGCATAGAGGAGGAGGACACCTTTTGATATGTTCTTGTGGTTTACTCTCCTAAGGGTGTCACCCATTGTTTACTGAATCACAGCCATTACAGAAAGTATCATAATGACTCTGGTCCCTGTGAGGAAGGACATTGTCTTGGTGCTGGTACTTTTCACTGGAGTACCATTTATTTCTACTTCCACTTCCTGAGAAGGTAAGGTAGAGCTAGTGGTGTGGTTTTCATTTCTCAATTGCTTAGAAATTACTCTTTTCCCAGAATTGTCCTCCAAATCTTCATGGTAAGGTAATCATCTTATGTCTGTGTCTAGCTCGATAGATGGGCAATTTCTAGTGTTTCTCTCCTGTTTCTGAGGAACACATGGAGAACTACTGCCTCCTTTCCCAAGAGTGGACACATGTTTAAACCCAACAGATACTTCTTCTATAGGGCTTTCAACATTAAACCTGTGCTTCGAGGTGTGGGCACAGTTAGAGAAATAGTGGAAGACTGAATTGAAGTTATGGACAAGCACAGGCTTGATATTCTCCACTGAGGCTGCTTCTACTTTGACTCTTGATCCAGATAATTCTTAACTATGAGAGGTGCCGAGGGGAAGGATGGAGAAGAGCCTATCACAGAGTGCAGATCTCTCTCAAACCTAGTGTTTAGATTCTTGCTTGAATTGGTACATACATTCCAACATTTTAGCATCCAGGTCTGAGCCCTTATAACGATTCTTGCTCCTCAAAATGGCTTTCAGATCTTTTGTTGGAATATGAACTTTGATTTCGGAATCAGAAAATCAAGTCTCCACAGTACAGCCTGCGGGGGAGGGGTTTAGAACTGGGGTTTACCTGGCTTCAGGCTATCTGGGCTTAGGTCATCTGGTTCAAGTCCTCTTGTCCTACTTTGTTAAGGCCACAAATGGCAAGTACCAGCACAAGACACAATTCCAGTTGATACCAGGAAACACTGGTCAGCAGACTGAAAGCCGAATACTGAGAGAAGGCTTACGAGAAGGAACTGTGTGTCTTAATCACGTGACAATATAAGCATGAACTCAGAGGTTCTGGACACCTGAGTCCAGCTTGTTGCTCTGCTCTGTTCCAGGCTGGTCATCTCATTAGCTAACATGTCTGGTTCTGTTCCCATGGCCACACAGAACCTTCCAGTAAACAGGGGGGAGATATTTCTTTCCCTTTAAGCACTCGATTCATGGTTTCTGCTCATAAAATGCTGGCTTCAGTCAAAAAATTTGACTTCAGTTAGATTTAGTGTTCGGAAAGGTAATATTTAGCCCAGTATCCAGTGTCCAGGCATCTATTTACAGGAGAAAAGAAAGATAACCATAGCTTCTTTATGGCATTCACAAACATTTCTTTGATCGCTTAAATCATCCTGGACTCTCTTACCAGTCTGAGTCATGCTGCTAATAGAATTGGAGAGGTGAAATGATCCAATCCAGGTTCTGCAGGAGTTTCTCATGGGGATTTTTCAAGGCTAGCAGTGAGCTGACCACGTCTAGCTGGAGCTCCAGAGCATTTCAGAGCATGTCTTCCCATGTGGCATTATATACGCCTTCTCTTTTCTGTTTCCATTATTAGTATTTTGACCAGCTGAGCTCAAGAGAAGATTCTGTAACCTTTTTCAGCAAAGACTTACCTGAGCTAGGCCAGTGTCTTTAAGACTGAACCCTTCTAAAAGAGCCAATCTTAGCCCCAGCTACCAATTCCTGTTAGTTCTGTTTATATTCTAGTCTCCGGACTACTACTAAGAGAAGAGATATTTGAGAGGTCATCCATGAGGAACTTGTCCACAAAATGGGCAGGTAGCATGCTGTCTCTGGAGAATTGGAACTTGATGTAGTGGCGAATTAATTAAATCACTTGCTTTGGCTCCGAGAGGGTCACAAATGTGCTGCATCCACCCAATAGCTCTGGATTCTTGAATGGAACACACACACACACACACACACACACACACACACACACCCCACATGTGCCAGTTAATTTTGATATGCCCTGACTACCTCAACGACTCGGCACTTCTAAACCTCCCTGTGGCTAGCAAACACTCCCCTCCAGCATTCATGAGTTAACATCTTTTAAAATCTGCGTATCATCTCTGCTACCCCAGACTCAATCAGGGAAGTGGCTCCTAGGGCCACTTTCCCAGATTCTTACATGCTGTTGGGCCTTTAAGTTTCGTCTTTCATCATCGTGGTGATTCTCCTTCTCTTCCCCCCTCTCTCTTGGTCCCTTGTCTATATAATCTAAAAGTCTTGCCCAGTCTCCCTGCTTAGCCATGGCTCTACAGCAATTCCTTTTTACCAATTGAAGCCAGCTGAAGGTAGGGACCCTCAGGTCTGGAAGTGCGGCTTTTGGAAGCTGAATAAGACAAAGCATTAGAACCAATTCCCAACAACGCAATGCTTAGACTTAACTGGTTTGTGAACTCAGAGGTTATATAGAACTGGAAATGGAACTCCTGACACGTTACCAAGATGTGCATACATGTAATGCAACTCCTTGAACTTCTTAGATCCTGGTTAATGAGGCAGAAAGGTATGGGCAGTAGGACTGAAGGAGAAGGAGGGAGATATACACACATATACACACACACATGGTGGGGGTTCCTTCATTGCTTTATATGTCCCTTGGTGGCTTAGTGTTGTAAAATAATTAGGAGATATTAGAGGTGACTAAATTATAGACTCAGATTGTTCCTTCATATTATATCTCTGTTTTTAAATACCAAACCTATGAGCAAAGTAACAAGTCAAATCTCAGCTCACCATTTATTAAAGAGAATTTAAAAATTATTGTTATTGTTGTTTTAAATGATGATTCTATGTTTTCTGATTTCATAAGTTAACATGAGAATAACTTAAGGACTATGTAAGTTAGCTTGCTAAAGTCCTGTTTTCTTCCCTCCCCAATCTTTCCATTCATTTTTTTTTCTTTGCTACAATAGGAGATTCAGGACAAAGGGTTCACTTTCTGAGATGCTTGGCTAACAATGTTTCCTCTCTAGTCTTTTGAGATATGAACTTGCTCTGAAAATTCTGGAGTTGATTTGACTCTTTCCAGAGTTCCTATCCCACTTACCTTCCTCTTGGGCGTAACAAAACTAAGACCTTATAGTCTTAGTCCTCTTCTAGGGAGACACAGTGAGGCAGACATGAGACATGATGCTGGTGTCCTGGAGGTGTTGACTGAGCCCAGGGAGCTCCCATCCTGCACACTTGGTGACACCATCCCTGCAGGATAGATTGGATTTTCCTTCTCTTTCCTTCCTCCCCCCCCCACCCCCAATCTAGGAGGAACTGAAGCAAGGCACTTGAAAAGCTTTTCAGAAGGCCCCATTAGTGAATTCCTATGCTTTCTCACAGGAACAGTTGGGACCTTCTGATCTCAATATGCAAAGAGGCTGGTAACATGTAAATCAGCAGCTCTCAGGTCAGTAAAAATAGATCTGTTGCGCCCCCCCCCCCCCTTTTTCCCTTC